AACACTGATCACCCTGAGTATGTATCTGTACAGTACACAGGTCCGATTCCGGCCGAGCGAGGGGCGGAGCTTACCATGGGCGGAGGTCGCAGCGAGACCTCTGCACTGACCGGGACGGGAGGGGGGCGGGGCACGGCCACTACCCAAAATTCCCAGCGGCCCAACGCCTGCTGCTTCTGCTGGTGCTGCTGCTGCAGCTGTTCATGGTGAGACACACCTGCCTTACCTGGTGCCAACATACCTGTGGTCAGTGCTGCCCTTAACCTCATTGTGTGTGGCTGTGCTGTTTGTGCGAGTTTGTGTGTGTGCGTGTTTCCTGTCTGAAGGCTGCTTTATCATGTCAGTCTCACTGTCAGGAATGAAGAGGAGAGGCAGAGGCAGAGGAGGAGGAAGAAGATACCGGACACAAAGATGGAAACCATACCAAACTGTGAAGCTTGGTGAGTCACTGCGGTCGAGCGTTCTCTGCTCGACCTCACATGAAAAACACAACTTTTTCCGCATTGCAGAAAAATGCCACCAGGGGGCAGTATGAGCTCAGCTGAGCTCAGCGAGCTGTGAAACATGTTGATGGGAGTAGTACGCAGTTTGGGAATAAGCTGAGCCTGAGTGTGAGTTTTATTTACCTGCAAAGGAAACGTGTTCAAACACAGATGTGGTCTGACCAGGCCTACATCAGTTCATCCTGCATTAACGGCTCTAGGATCTTCACAGACTCTCAGTGTTTAGCCTAACAACTGCAATTAAGTCAGAAATATCCAAATATTCATACGTTCAGTTTGATATCAGCTAACTGCAGACCAGGAACATACACAAATGAACAGATGAACAAAGCTTTCCCCGCTTCTTCCTCAGCACCAAACCATCGTTAGAAGAGATCCGGCTGTGGTCTCAGTCCTTCGACAAGCTGATGAGGAATCCGGCAGGTCGAAATGTTTTCCGGGAGTTCCTGCGGACAGAGTACAGCGAGGAGAACATGTTGTTTTGGCTCGCCTGCGAGGACCTCAAACAGGAGATGAACAAGAGCGCCATTGAGGAGAAAGCTCGTTCCATCTATGAAGACTACATTTCTATTCTGTCACCAAAAGAGGTATGACTGTTTTTCAGCTGGGTCACACCAGTGCTCAGTGTTTGGAGGACCAGTGTGTGAACTATACAACAGGTGCACCGAGCTGTAAGATGCAAGGTCTAAGTCAGAGCTGTGATTGCTCTGTTACAAAAACACTGGATACAGGTTCTGACACCAGGATTCACTTCCTGTTTACGCATTCTCGTTGCTATCATCGAAGAAACCAACTCCAGACTTTTTTGGAAAAAAATTCTTCATTTAATCCCAAACACTACAGAAAGAGTGCGTATTTCTCCCACGTTAGCTTCTAAAATCCAGGTGTTTACAGGTGCACCTTACAGCCGTACGTCTTGGATTGTCAGCACTGGCACTCACAGTGTTCGGGTTTTCTTTCTTTAAGGAGGTGAAGAAAAGATTTAATTGATTTCAGCAGTTGAAATTAAAAGTTACAGCAGGCTGGACAGCACCACCAAGGCTGAGGCCATGCTTCTGGAGACTTCTCTCCAACCTCTGGCTGTGGAGGAGCGTCTGCTCCGTGGGTTCTGAGTCAGCTGATCTGTCGGTCGAGCCACACCCGTGGATGTAAGCTGTGGGGAGCAGAAATGTGTCTTCAGTTATCATTTTTGCTTCTGACGGTTCAAAATGAGTCAAACTGTATTTCCATAGAATCTTTCCAGATAGCATCAGAGAGAAAAACAGAAAAGTTCCCAAAAGCAGGTTTAAAAGGTTTTTAGCTGCTTTGAGAAAGAACCCAATGAGATGTCAGACTCAGGGGGAGACAGCGCCACAGTTTGGCCACTGATGGAAAAGCTCCGCCTCCTTTAGATCTTGTTTGCTGCACAGCCAGCAGACGGCCTCGGGGACCTGCTGGGGCTGCATGGATGTACCCTGGTGCTCATCCATCCAGAATCGTACCGTGGTCTATGAAGGGGATGAGGAGTGTCTTAATGCTCCTGCGTTGGTCCCAACATAGCCCGTTAGTCTTTAATGCAACGAGCAGACGATTGTGTTAAAGCTGCAAACGACACAAATCTAAATAGCCAGTCCTCTTCACCAGCCTCAAACATCACTCAGCCAGGTGAAGCTGGTTATACTAGACACCTGGTCAGCCAGGTAAAGGCCCGTGATTGGCCCAAAACACAGATCCCAGAAGATCCCGGGCCCAGAGCGAGACCCGTGTAAAGTTAGCCAACAACAAAGTTAGCCGTTTTACCGACGGGTTCGGGGAACTTTTCCGTGTGCTCATCAAGATCGTCCTGAATCCGGATACCTGACCACTTACCTGGGAATTCTCCAGATGTTAAGATTTCCTCATTGTGAAAGTGGAGACTAGCGTAACCCACGGCAACACTCAGTCACCTGTGCGTTATTGTGGAGTCACACCGTGTGTGACTTTGGGAGATAAGATTCACGCCTGGCTGTCTGCAGTTCTCACCTTGACCTCATTTATCACTGAAGCTCGTTAAAAAAGACCTGCTCTTACTTTTAAGACGTGGAGACGACACAGTAGCCTGAGTTAGCAGCAGCTGTTCAAAGCAGTGTGCCTGGTTAAGAGTCTCCCGTGAGCTCCTGTCAGTCACGTCTCCAGCTCCAGGTTGGCTGGCTCATTAGTCACACTGTTTCTTTGTGCAGCAAAACCTGAACTGCTTTGTTGCATCGAAGTGTGTTTTTCCCTCCAGGTGAGTCTGGATGCTCGGGTTCGAGAGGTGATCAACAAGAAGATGCAGGATCCGACGCCACACACCTTTGAAGACGCCCAGCTGCAGATCTACATGCTGATGCACAGGGACTCCTACCCACGATTCCTCGCCTCCAACATCTACAAGGCGCTGGTTCATGGCGGCTCCCGTACGCCCTCCGAGTCCTACTCCTAAACATCTTCATCCAACCTGCGCTCCGCCTCCATCCAAGTCTTTCAAGCAGTCATCACTCCATCCTCAGCTCTTCCCACGTACTCATCTTCATCGTCTCTCATGTTTTCTTCCTTTTAGTCACACTCCTGCTCACTTCTTTCTTCTTTTGTAGTCACCTTCTCTCAATGTGGAGATAATCATTTTGAAAACAAGAAGAAAAACCCTGGAAACAGATTTACAATGTTTATAAAAATATATATATTTTTCTCGAATTTGAAATCTTAATCAGGCCTTTGACGTCAGTTAGACCTTGTTATGTGCAGGGTTAGTGCAGTGCAGTGATTAAAAACTAGCAGTTAAATGTTAAGACAAACTCCTGGCCAACAGTTTCAGCTCAGCGAGGCTTTGAGCTCAAACAGATGAATTTTAATAGCAGTGAACTTATTGATTTTAGGTGATTTATGAGTTTTACGTCACTGAAATCAGACTAAGCTGATCCCTGATCCATCCCTGCCTTCCTCCTCCTCACGGTTCACCTTTGGTTCATGTTTCCCTCCTGAGGGCACCAGCGAGTGACACTGAAGTTTTACTGGAGTGATTGTTTTTTCAGTGGGAGAAATATTCACATGTGCCATCAGCTCTTTGTGGATTTTACCAGCCTTGCTCCTTAGCGTCTCCTTTCACAGAGCCAGCTGACTCCACCTCGCACTTCAGGAATGATGCGGTTCAAAGAAAAAGATGAATGCTGCGTCGTTCCCTTTCGCTGTTTTTGAACTGGAAACACGACGCTTCCTCAGACGCTTCACCTTTGGTAGTTCGCTGGATCGACGACTTTACTCCTGACCACAGGGGGGCGCCGCTTCCTCCAACTACTGACTAACAAACGACTACATGAATATTTTATATCACAGAACTGAACGTGGAACATTTCACCTACTTTTGTTTGTCGTGGTCTCTCCTCGTCCTGGTTTTTCCAGAAGAGGATGACCCAACGAGACTGATTACACCCGACACACACACACACACACACACACACACACACACACAGAGCAATAAAAACACTGGAGTTTAGAAAACAGAATCAGTGCTACTTTACTTACACGGACCGTTCAATAATCAATACTTTCCTTCCATTAATGGTCAGAAAGACACAGATTTGAGTTTCGGAGTAAACGAAGCTGCTGTGTCTTTAAAATGATGGATAATCAGTAATAATGATTATTGTTCATAATTAGTCTGCAACCAAAAACTACTGAGAGATGAAATGCAAAGCTGCAGGCGGACGTTTGTGTTGTAATGAATGAACATTGTGTCGCAGAGACCACAAAAGAAGGACCTGTTAAAGATGACACAGAGGAGGTTTTGCTTGTGCGGGTGGAGAACGTTTCACTGTTTACCACCAAGAATAACGCGCAGGTGAAGTCAGACGTACGCCGCCATCACGTGAATGTTTATGGTCGCCACATCTGTTTTCTTACAAATTTATAACAGGCCCTGTAAGTATAGTATCACACACACACAGACACACACCGGGGCTGCCTACCTGGGCGCTGCTGCTGCTGCTGACCTCTGCGACCTCTCACTTTTGACCTCATCACTGTCTGTGGCTCCTGATTAGCTGCAGGAGGCCACCGGGCTCATCTGTGGTTGGTCCATTCAGGGAGGGGGGCGGGAGGAAATCCCAGGTGCAAAAAAGCAGCCCATGTTGTGAGTCGGACGCTTCCTGCACTGCTTCATGGGAACGCTGGTAGATGGAGGCGGAGGCCACAGGTTCAAACAGGAGATGCCTCCCTCTTCAGCAGACCAGTCACACGATGCATTTCTCTTCGTATTGTTGATGTTATTTATTTTCTATTTTGTTAAAACTGTGATTTTAATTGTACAAATATAAAGAGAAAACTGAAGATCCAACGAGAGGCTGCTTGTTTTGTGACAGAAATGACCTGAGAGGTCACAGTGTTCACACCTGTGTTAACACCAAGGACTGAACCAATAAAATCTCCCAGGCTGAAACGCTGTTATTATGATAACTGACCGGCACCGACACACACACATTAACCATGTCAGGGTGCCAGCTCGCTGGTTTCCCGTGGTCTGATGGTTTCTTTCTAACCTTCGGCCTCGATGAAGAGGAGAACCTAACGGTGTTTGCAGGGTTGGTGAAGTCGGTCCAGCTGATGTGATGATGAACCTGAGGGCTCTACGCTCGCCACAGGTCACCAACACGTTTATCTGACTTTGTGGTAAAGTCACAGACTTCGCTTTGATCTGTGACAAATCGTCATCAGGCTGTGTGACAGGAAGCTTTGATGTTTCCATGGATACAGTCTAAAGTCTCACAGCTTAAAAACAAACAGCACTGAGCGCGTTCAGACACAAAATAATTCAAATCTTCAGGTGAACCAGTTTCTGCTGCTGTCAGATTAATTTATTTATCTAAAAAGGGACAGCGCAGTTTAACATAGTCCAAGTACAAAACATGAAACTGATGTAACGCACATAAGTTTATTGCTAATTTTCAACAAGTGTCCATTGTTGGGCTTACAATCAAAATAGATACATTTTACAACAGAACATACGATTACACCATAAATACAACTACAATTAATAGACAATAAATTAAAAAATAAAAATTTTACTGTTAGATTTTGTCTTTTCCAGAGGTGTTTATTTTTATTTATCCTTATCTGATAAAGCATCTGAGCAGGGGGTGCTCACAGGGATCATTTGATAAGGAACAAGACTGACGTGTCAAATACCTTTTTTATGTGAGCCTGACGCAAAGAGCCCGGCTTAACAGAGAACGCTGGTAATCACGATACCTGTTATCTCTGACTGGAGTTTCAGATTTTAGTCCAGGAAGTCAGGATATATAGAACTTTAGTTCACGGTTAGCTACAGAGCTAATATAAAATCATCAGCACAGGAAGCAGGAGGGTAAGGGTTAAACTGTTCCCAGTAAAGATCACGCTGGGTGAAGGATGGAGACAAACACCATTGTATGACAGGAAGAAGCTTAAAATGACGCAAACGTGTCCGTCCACAGCTCGAGGTCAGTCACTAATCTGCTGCTGCCTGGTTTGAACGACTGTGACAAAATCCTGATCCTCAGTGTCGCGTCCAGAACGAGGGGAATTCTTTGGAGTCCAGGACACAACTTCTCTGCTGCTGGGTTAAGGTCAGACACTTTCTAATAAACAGTTCTGAGAGGACGACAGGAGCCGAGAGTACAACTCAAAGTTTCCATGAACACAGAAAATAATGAACCAGCTCCCTGAAATCTATCATTTCAGACGGTTTCCACTGAGCACCAATTATGTTCTCTTGACAAAAATAGACTTGTGAAAAGATTCATTTGTACATATTTTTCCTGTATAATTTGCAAGTTTTTAAAATGTTAGTTTTTTAACACATGGAACATTCTGTTTTCTCTGTCTCTCTTCATGCTCATGTATGGGAAGAGCTCAGCGGTGTTGCCACAACAAACACAACAGGATCCTTCTCAGCTCTGCTTCCCCACCACTCTTCATCCTACCCGTCAACACACTTCCAAACACCAGCAGCATTTAGAAAAACAGCACGAGGCCTCTGCTCTTTGTTTAAGTAGTCTGTCTTTTGCTGGAAGCTTCGTGGAACAGTGTTAACGTCCACATTTATTCAGACGAATACTGTTTAACTTCTCGAAAGTTAGAGCGTGTTGGTCTGTCCAGGCCAGGTTAGATATGCACCCGACTGCCACCATCACAGATCTGTTTAATCTGCCTATCAGCCAACCAGCCTCGTCCGTTTAGACTTGTCCTTGACATTTTGGGGCATAAAGCTCCTTTCGGTTATAGCCTGAAAAATATTTGTCGAGTCTTGGTGGAAAAACCTTTCCCGAGTCTGTGTGAACATTTGTGTTGAATTTGAGGTGTTGAACACCTTCAGGGGTGATATAACCAGGATTAGCAATCATCAGGGTTCACTGGTACTGTGACCAGTCAAGTAGAGGAAGGTTTGTTGTCACTCGTTGGCTGTTTTGCACAAACTAACAATGGGAATTATAATCCATTAAATAGAGGATTAGAGTAACTCTGCAAATAGTCTGAGGGTAAATTAATCTCATCTTCACTGACCGACAGTGAGAGACAATGCTGGTACCTCAACGCTGCACGAGGTCATCGTTCGTTTGTCTCGATGAGCTAAAAGTCACATTCAGCTAAACAACCATCAAGATTTAGTGGGGCGACCGTGGCTCAGGGGGTTGGGAAGCGTATCTGTAACTGGAAGGTCGCTAGTTCGATCCCCGGGCTCTCTGTCCCTGGTCATTGTGTCCTTGGGCAAGACACTTCACCTACCGCCTACTGGTGTTGACCAGAGGGGCCGATGGCGCGATATGGCAGCCTCGCTTCTGTCAGTCTGCCCCAGGGCAGCTGTGGCTACAACTGTAGCTGCCTCCACCAGTGTGTGAATGCAAGAGTGAATGAATAGTGGGATTGTAAAGCGCTTTGGGTGCCTTGAGAAGCGCTGTATAAATCCAATCCATTATTATTTTTATTTTTTTTCTACAGATGGCATGTAAACCAGCCGAATTCTTCTCAGTTCGTATTAATCAACATTTTTCCGATTGGAAGCCAGTCCACCCTACATAATGACTGAAAACACAACACATCATTTATTAGAATCAAACCCAAGTGCCGATGACATCGGACCACCACTGACTCAGTCTGACAAGTCTTTGGGGAAATTACAGTGAGAGAAATCATTATGTGGTGAAAGTTTTCCCACAAAGAAAGAAATGGTTTCTGGTTCATTTTAAAGGAGACAAAATATTCTGCATTAACTCGAAGCTTCAACTCTCACCACAGACTTTTCATCGACCTGAGGACAGGAGACTGGTGATACCTCATTCTGGATCTTCGTCTTTAGCCGGTCCTTTGTTCTCTTAGTGCTATGTTTAAGGTCTTCCTGGAAAACCCACCCACAACCAATCTTCAGTGTTCAGGCTGAGGGGAGGAGGTTCTGGTCCAAGATTTTAATGGTACATGGCCCTGTGCTCTGAAGACACAGGGCCTGTACACTCAGAAAAACGACTTCAAGCAAGTTTCCACTTCCATGCCCGACGGTGGGGATGCTGTTCTTTGGGTCATACGGCGGGTAGAGCTCAGTTCCATTTTGGTTTCATCTGACCACAGCACTTGCTCACCCGGCTTTCCTGAATCATTTAGATGTTCAACGTCAGATGGGCCTGCTTGAACATTTCAGTCCAATTTCTGAATAATCAAACTCAGTGCCTCACCAAGTTCATGGTGGTCGTCTTTTACTTCATTCCAGCCTTGGGCAGGTCTACGGTGGGAACCGGAATTCTAGCTGGGTTGTAAAGGCTCAACTTATTTCACCCAATAACATGACATCAGTTTTGTCTAATCTCTAGATTTTTGGTTGATATTCTGCGTCTCTCTGTTCAAATGAAATTCTAAAAGAAAGACTGCTGATTTCTATGTGAGTAAACTTCAAGGTTCACCAGGGATGGTTTCCCTTTTTATTGATGATGGTGATTTCTGAAGCCAAAACAATAAAAACAGCGATTCGATGGTCTTCATCCAGGAGCAGCTTTAATATGTTCAGCACATCATGGCAAAGAAAGACACACTATGAGCTGTGATTTGAATCTGGCTCAAGCGTCTTCAGAAAGGAAGTCTCAGTCATCAATACAAAACCAATTCAACCAATGGACAACATCAGCTGGCTTTTATCTCTCCAAATACATCGCAGCATTTAGTTTGATATATAAAAAGAAATTACACCAAAAAAATAAATCAACTTCAATAACTTCAATTTGCTTCTTGACAGAAGAATAAACGGCCGTGTTTTCTTCAACAGAACTGAAAGACAAATACAAAGAGACACCCCAATCAGACCCAATGCAGAGAAACCTGAAACAGTCAGAAACAGATCGGACTGTCACCGGGCCCTAAACAGACACGATGAATCTCAGTACCTCAGAAATCAGAGGCAGAAGCTCAGTGGAAAAAGATCAAAGTGCACACCTGCAGTGGAAAAACACACCACAGAGCTAACAAACAACTGGCAACTCAAATCTTTTCGCTTTGAGCGGCTTGAGGCAGCTGTTGTTGTGATTTGGCATTTTATAAATGAATTGAACTGAAGCTTTGTTCTTCTCATAAATCACCTGCTTCTCCATTTAGTTGCTTCACTTTGACCTGAGTCAGCAGCTAAATCAGCTAAGTCGGGGGTGAGAGGGTATGGTAAGATCAGAAGGTCAGATAAAGAAGGTTAGCATGCAGAGAGAGCTGAGAGGAAGAGGGGGAAGCTGTAATTCAGCCTCTGCTGCCACCATCTGGAGGCAGAAGCTGCAAACCTGAGCTCAAACACTCAGAGCAACAGACAGTGCACAAGACAAGTGAACAAAAGCTCCACAAAAGAGGACGACCTCAGAGAGGATTCATGGATGTACTGAAGGAAGGAGGGTTGGTGTGACTGCTGTGGAGACCTCGGGTGATGAGAAAGAGGGTAGGTCGATTATTTATCAAATATTTGCAGAAGAGAAACTTTTATATGGCCCTAAATATTTCCAAGACAGCGCCGTCTGTAACACTGATCAGTGTCAACGCCAGTCCACGTGTCCTGTGTATTTCAGAGTCAGGGGCCTTACCTTCCATCGGTTGCCGCAGTCGTTACACAAAACAAAAGTGGTCATGGGCTCATCAGCGCTGCGGGTCTGCACCTGAACACGAGAACGAGGTGGTGAAAACTGGTCAGAGAACAGCGACCATCAGCCTGAAGATGTGCTCATACCTGTGTGTACGTGCAGCTCTTTCCATGACACTTGCTGCAGATGAACATGTCCGTCTCAGTTCCTCCGACCTTGGAAAGCTGATGCTCTCTGATCGACTCTTTTGTCAGAGCCTCTCTCATCTGCTTCAGCTCTGCACTCGCCATTTCCTGCGTGCGTGCACACACACACACACACACACACACACACACTTACTTGAACTGCTTCCTTCGGCCCACTGACTCCTTTTTGTAGTTATCCAGTTTACATTCGTACAAACCACCGCTGCACAAAGGGGGATTCTTACCGTTTCACTCTATAAGCTCAGTGGGCTCTTGACCTCATCTCACTAACGTGAAACTAAAACAAATTACTTCCCATTTAGACTTTCAGAATAAAACAATATTCGGCCTATAAATATTTTGCCAGAGACAACGTTTTTCTAATTTAGGCTCTGTAAATCACCACAATCAATTTAAAATGAAACAACTGAGATGCAGGTGAAGGGCAGACTTTCAGTTTAATTCAATGGTTTGAACAAAACGACTGCATAAATGTGAGGAACTAAAGCATTTTAATGCAATCAAACACAAAACAGAAAAGTAATCGGACAAATTACATATAATAAAATGTTCATTTCTTATACTTGGTTGAAGACCCTCTGCTGGCACTGCCTGAAGTCTTGGACATCACCAGATGCTGCTTTTTAACGCTCTGCAGGCCTTTACTGCAGCAACTTTCACTTCCTGTTTGTGAGCCTTTCTGTCTGACGTTTAGTCTCCAACCAGTGAAACACTCAGTTGGGCTAAGATCAGCTGACTGACTCGGCCCTTGAAGAATCTCCTTTGCTTGAATAAACTCCTGGCTGTGTGTTTCGGGTCATCTGTGTTATGAAACACGCTGACTCTGACTGCATGTAGACAGTCTGTCTCTGAACACCTCAGGAGTTCGTTCTGCTGCTTCGGTCACATCATCATAAACTCACGTCTAAGGATGGGTACTGATAAGATTTTCACGATTCCGATTCCATTTTTGATTCTGTTTAACGATTCGATTCTTTATCGATTCTTTTTAAAAAAGAAGAACACTAAGGTCGATTAGCTCAGAACTTTGTTTTATATCTTCTCTTTGAACAAGATAGAAATGTAGGAGTAACATGGCCTTACAAACCCAACAGTGAGATCTTAAGAGATCCACAGCCTACGGGGGTGTCACAGGGTCCCCAGAAAGAAAATTGTAAATGTAAAATAACAAAATAAATATTCTTCTGTAGCAATAACAAAGTATAACATAAATTATTCTGTAGCAATTACACAAGAATATCCAGTAATGTCCCTGCCTACAATTAAACACATTCACTTACCGAAAATCGGGGGCATCTGCTGTGGCAAACGGGTGCAAGCCTTTGACCACAAACTGAGTCTCTGCTGTTGTTGGTGTTAGTTCAGCAGGCATTACACACACGCAGGTAGGAACAGAGGATCACCAGAGATAACTCCTTTCTTTACTTTTTCTTCTTCCCAAATACAACAACAACAACAACAACAACTGCTCGGTGACGTTCGTCTATCCTGCCTGAAAGGAGACGCTACGGTAGACTGCAGCGAGAACTGCCAGCATCTGAGCCAGACTCTGTCTCATCATGGTCACCTAAACGCACAGTAATGGCAGGTTTTGTAATAAGGCAGATCGCGCTAACATAATCTGCACTGT